CCTGCCCCCGCTCCCCCCCTCCCTTCAGCGGGGAGCTCCTCCGCGCCTTCCTTCGTCTCCCGGGGATAAATAGCAAATCCGGGCGTGTGCCCCGGGAATTTCTGTCAGTTTCCCTGCTTGCCGGCGTGACCCCTGGGGAGTGCGCCCATACGCGACTGCTTGGCACGGGGCGAAGGGGTGGCACGTAGGCGGTAAAAAACATGGCAAATGTTTCTCTTCCCACTCCCAACCTGTCGAAATAGACACTGGTAACTTTCCGCTGCCCTCCCGTGCGGAGTGAACAGCGCTGTGTTCTGGTGCTGTGGCTCTGGGTGCTCCCCTCGAGTTAGTTTCTCAGTTCTTGGTGCTCAAAAATGGTTTATTTTGTCATTCTCTCTCCTCAACAGACCGAGGTGGGAGGGAAGATGGAAGGAAATGAGGGGTGATAGTTAGTTTGAATCTCTTTTTCTGCCTCTGTTTTGAGATAATGCTGATACATCCACAATTCGTCCATCTGCGTACTCCTTCATTAGGGTGTTTAGGTTGTAATCCCATCAGCCTTTACTCAGCGAAGTAATCCTTCTTTGAGCAACACTGTTGAAATCTGGGTAGGGTTTGCTTCTTAGATCATCAGTTCTCAATTTTTTCGTTGTAATCCTGATAAGCAATTGTGAACAATATCCAGAGTTCGTATTATTTCTCTGGAGCTGAATGAGCTGTCTGAGGCTCTGTTTCACTGTATGGTAGTGTCAAAGCATTGCAGAAGAGTTTTATACATAATTATGCTCCCTCCCCCCCTTTTTTTAAAATAAAGTTTGCAGGTGCATGATGCAGAAGTCAAATACCAAACCTAAAGTGTGGTTAGCATTTGATGGGTCCTATTTCATTTGACAGAAACAAGTTTTGAGAAAACTATTGAAGGAAATGCGCTGCATGTCAATTCTTTGTATGTTACATGGGAGCAGCTTTCAGGATATGAGTAAACTTCCATATACTCTAAGAAATATTAGTGATACGCTAAGAGATTTTGTCCTGGAAGAACCTCATGACTCTTAACTGCTTAATATAGTTTGCATGTTACTTAACAGGGATGACAGCAAAAGCAAGTGTCATAAAATGTGCATTACTCATTTGGACAACTGTACTACCACAGCACCTGATAAAGAATACACAGTAGCATATCTTACAGAAATATTTATCTACATAATATAGAAACTCCCTAAAGCACTTGATTCTTAAATCTTCCCTAATTGTTTATGAGAAATTGGCACTTTTATATCAAGATTTATGAAGTGCATGGATTACTGAATTACAGTGTAAGCTCCAACACAAGGCATTTAACTTTATTTCAGCATGATTGTTGAAGCATATGTAGTGCAGTTATAACTAGAATTTAGAAAAATGTTATGTTAAATCTCAACATAGAAATACTTCACTGTCTTAACGTTTACTAATAAATCTCAGCTTTTTAACAGCTTCTAGATTTAGAAGAAAATTTTTGCACTAATAATGGCATATTATTTTTTGGTGTTTCAGTATCTTCCCTTTTTTCATTTCAGATTATGTTTATTTTGAAAATTCTTCCAGCAATCCATATCTCATTAGGAGAATTGAAGAACTTAACAAGGTACACAAATATCTAAGATTCTTGCTTAACCTTTGACAAAAGTCAGTGCACTTTTCAGAAACTGAGAATGATTTCCATCCCATAAGATTTCTGTTGTGGTAGAATTTTCTGGGTTTTTTTTCTTTCTTCCTTTTCTTTTTTTTTCTTTTTTTTTTTCCACTTGAGATTTGCTGTGTATTTTGTGTATGTTTCAGTAACTGAAATCTTACTATGTGGTATCCTGTGATTCTGCCCTGTTATTTAAGGAAACACCTAGTTGATCATTCCTGGTGAACAGGAGTAGTCTGCTGTAAAAATTCCCAAACGAATCCTCTGCATGCCTGAGGAAATGGGTGAATTTAATTCTCTGTATGGTGATGACACTGTGAATCTGTCTGTAATGGTGGCGATCATGTAATGTGTCTGCTTTTGAATGTACTGTAAAGAGCTGGTGGGTATCAGCGAGATTGCAGTGATCAAATAACTGAATGTGTGACTTGTGTGGCTGTTTATTGCTTTGCTTGTTGGCAGCTGTGAATGAAGGACAGGCTTTTGAAAAGAAATAGAGACTGTATTATCTGTCTTTATTCTGAGCATATTTTTACAAAAAATTGAGGCTTTTCAGAGTGTCATTTTGGGGAAAACATGATTATTGTTCTTGTACTAAGACTGGTGTGGCTTTTTTTTGTGTGTGTGTGTGTCTGGCATATTTTTACTACTCCATCAAGCAGTATTAAAACTTAACAATACATCGTGTCAAAACTTAATGAACAAAGTGTCTATTGTGATGTAAATGATGGTAATTTTTTTTTTCCTGTGGTAAAAAAATAAATAAAAAATTGGTGACCTACAAATGGTTTTCTTCTTATTAATGGAACATAACACTACTACATAGCAGACGTGAACCATGTTACCTGTTAGTGCTGTCCAATACAACATCCACCGAACTTGTGCATGGAAAACATGGAGGTATTAGCAAATATGTAATGCAATGCTTTGGTTAATTTTACTGGAGATAAGATGCTTTCTTTTTTTTTTTCTTTTTTTTTTTTTTTTTGTAAGAAACTTAATTAAAACATGATACTTCTTAGTGCCACATCATAAGTTTTAAATAAGTCAAGGTAATGAACTAATTTTGTACTTCTCGTAACAAGAAAGGGGATACAGTTCTTCAAATGTTAGTTGATTTGTTACATTATCAGGCTAGAGGCTTTGATCCCTGTAATGAGTTATGAAAACAACTGTGAACTAAATAGCTCTTTTATCTTACAAGCTGCAGTGAATTTTCAAATAAACCAGGTTGTATTAAATATGATTCTGAGAAACTGCCAGAGTACTCTGAAATACACATTTCTGTCTAAAGCTGGGTTGCAAAGAAATGTTCACAAGCTTCTAGTATTTCTTAAGGCTTCTTATGGTAACATGATACTAGCATTACATCTCTATACAGCTGAGTAATACATAAATTCTTAGGACTAAGTAATTATAATCAATATTGTGATCTGATCTGAAATAGATATTGACCTGTGTCAGGAAGTTTTTACTTACTTGGGTCATTCTGTTGATTTCAGCCTGACTGGTCATGTGAGATCTACTAATATGAGGGGAAATTGCAAGCAGAGGCCATTTAATTTGTATTACTCAGCTGAGGAAGGGTACATTCTGACTTACTTAATTTATCTTTCTTTTGTAGACTGCCAATGGAAACGTGGAAGCAAAAGTGGTGTGTTTTTACAGGCGAAGAGATATTTCCAACAGCCTTATAATGCTTGCAGATAAGCATGCTAGTAAGTAGATTGTATAGGGCATTTTTTCTTTCTGTCACAGCCTGTTTGGTTTCTGCAGCTGCTTAGAATTGCATTTCTTTGGCATGTGGAATATATATTTATATTAGAAATTAATTAATATCCAGTTAGGTGATTAGAATTATCTGATACTGGCCCTGCTCCTAATAGTTGCTTCCAGGATTTAAATTAAGCTATATTAAAGTGATTAAAAGTCTCCATTTATAAAAAAATGATGTATTATTTTCATCTGGAAGGTACAGCTATATTTCCTTTTTTATGTCAAAAGTAAATCTTGGGTATAAGTCAATTTAAGCTTAAAAGCGTTTGTGAGTTTTTGATTTGACTTTTTTGGCTTAGGAATAGATGTGTATTGCTTACTGGAAAGAAGAAATGTGTCATTGGAGACTGAAAATCACTGAAGATTGTGAAATTGCTCTTATGTGCATTTATGCTAAATGTTGATGTTAAGCACTAAAATAGTAGTAAGCATCATCATAGGTTTTTCAGAAAAGCAACAAGTGGTAATAGGGAAAAAAGTCACGTTTTCATCATGAACTTAACTTTTTTGGTAGCTGCCATTTGATCTGCAACTGAAAGACATTATTTTTCCGTAACTATAATTCTGAAGACAAAAACAGAACATAAAAAAAATGAGATGATAGAGAAAGTAATTATTTGCAAAATATTGCAGCGACGTTTGTAAATAACTGAAATGTTAAATATGTCAACATCCAGTAAATTTCTTGCTATATGGTGTTAAATAACAGTTTGATTATAAGCGATACTTAAGTTTTCAAAATTAATATGTGAATAAGTGATGTAGGGATTATAAATCTCTGTTCTGTAATTTATTGGGATGAATCTTCTTAAAGACATTACCTAATGCCATATTTTGTGTGCAGATACACGATGGAGTAATTGAGTGCTTTAAAAATACCTTACAATTTGTTTAACATGAAATTCTGATAATTTTACTCATACAGTTACTATTAGTGAAGAGAAGTAGCCAGCTTTTGGCTTTTGTTTTATTCTTTCATTGGTTCTAGAGAAGTGGAGGTGATTTGAGTACATAGTGTGAAGTACTAGCTTGGTTTTTGAAGAAAGAAAATACATCTTGCTTATGTTCTAAGGAAATGATTTATTTAAATGTTTTTCTAATATAGTTGGGTACATTTCATAATTATTGGTGACCTATTTTATGGTAGTCTGCCCCCACAGTCATTACAGTCTTTTGAGTGCTTACATATGAAATGTATAGAAATATAGAACTTTTATTGAGTTTCACTAAGCTTTGCAGGACATTTTTTTTGTTTTTCTTTTCTACTGGAGCGGGCAGGGAAGGCTGAAAAGGATAACAGTTTTACTGGAAATATGATTTTTTTAAAATTTGATTTTTGAAACATGAATCTTGTAAATTTTTTTGCTTGGCTTATTTTTAATAAAAGTATGTGTTAGTTCTGTGGGCATCGTTTGATCTGGAAAAGTGAACAAGATTTTTCTGTTTCCTTTGTGAGTTTTAGATTGCCATTTTGTCAGCACTTTGATATAAAGGACTTGTTGACGGTCTGCTGCTCTTCCACTATAGCATACTAGGGGTTTGTTGGTGTCAGTAGAAGTACTATGGAATCTTCCATTGCATTTTCTGTGCTGAGATTCTCTTGCTGTTTTCTAGCAAGAAAATAGAAATGTAATTTCTAGCTGATTCAACAAGCATCTTTAGAATGCCTCTGTCTCACAGGTCCTAAGTCTTCTAACTCAGCGTGCTTAGGGATTAGGTTTCTCTGTGAAAGTTTTCTCTGTACATAATGTTTTCTTTCTCACCAGTCTGTAGAATCTGTACAGCTAAGTTATTTTATGAGATATATGTTACAGTTACAGGGGACAGCACATAGTGAAGGATTGATCGCCTGGTTCTTGGTACAGCTTGTACAGCAGATGTAGTTAAATGTCAAATCAATTTCAGTGTTTTGATTCTGGAATACCACAGTGTTCTGTTTAAAAATACGATGTATATAAACAAAATATTTGTATATTTATGACTTTAATGTTTTGCAAATGTTTTATATAGTTAAACATGTTGATGCTTCAACACTTCTACCTGGTTTGTTATAAAATAAGTGCTTAAAGATACAAGTTTCTTAAGGAATGGAAATTCTAGTTCAGTTACTGGTTACTCCAGTGTACATGTTTAGATAAGTCTTTTAAGTGTAAGATCTGCTTGATCTTTTCTAATGACGTTTTATATTGCTAGCATTTTTTTTTTTTCTTTATGCTAGAGAAAACTGTCTTGAGTGATGCACTTTTGAAAATTTTGGAAGGTAGAGATTGGGATTTTATTGGCAATGCTTTAAATTCCTTAATAAGAAAATATTTGGGAACTTTAAGAATAAATTTTCAATAACTTGAAAAAATTTCAAAACAATTTTAAAGAATGTTTGACAAAAATGTAGCGTAGTAGATCTGTGACACTGTCACTGGTAAAAAGTAAATATACTGTTCTTTGGGGGGTTTGTTTTTTGCTTTTTTGTCTTCAAAAAGTTTCAGGGTATAAAATGAAATTGGGGCGGGGCGTAATCGAGTATCCTTGGGCCATTTAAAATACTCAGGTATAGACGAGTTCCCTTGATTTCAAAGCATCTGTCACTAATCTGCAAGGAAATTGCATTTCCTTTGTTTTTTTCTCTGTTTTTTTCTGATGGAAATTAATTAATGAGCTTTTTTATTTGTCTATCAGCAGCATGTATGATGTTAGTCTAGATCTGGGAATAGCTCTATAAGCTGACTGTAGCCACTGAAATCCAGGGGTTTGAAATGTTTTATGTGTCCTTGAAGACATTATAATTTTCCCCCCTTTGAATTCTGTGACTGTAAAGTAGAGTTTATGATAAGGCCAACCTGAAAGCAGAAACAAAATACTGACTAAGATGAGCTTCTTGATCCTATGCAGCCTCCTGAACTGACTAGGGGAGTTCTGTTGGAGTGTTAATACCCACCAGCTCTTAGGTTGTCACCATTACCATAGGGTCACTGCAAGGAGGTCATCTTTTTCTTTGTGAAGCAGAATAAGGCTCATTTTATGGGGAAAAGAAGGAAAAGAGATTAATAGATGACAGCAGGAAGTACAAGAGTTGTTGCAACAGATGACTGAGCTACATAAGCAAATGAACTTGGAGAGATGGGACAAAGCCACTCAGATCTTTAAAAAGGGTGAAGCAAAAATAAAGGGGTGGCATAGAGATGTTTTCTAACCAAATGGTGTGATTGAGTGCGAAATTGCCAGCTGTAGCTGGATCTGTAGAACTTAGATGATTCTTTATCTAAAGTGGAGTTGATGTAAATATTTCAGGGCGAGGTTTTAATAGTGGGAGGGAGGGACTACACTAGCCCTGTAACAGTACTGGGTTTGGGTTACAGTGAAGGGCTCAACTTCTGTATTCCTTCTTTTGTGATGGATTTATGCACTCTTAATTTCTTGAAGCTGAGTAGGATGCCCCAAGTGCATGATGCCATTTTTTTACAGTTCTTTAAATTTTAAATTCTTTATATTGTCCTGTGCTATCATGTAGTACTATGTCTGAAGTCGTTCTCTTACTGCAACTCCTCAAAGAGCTTTTGCATAATCAACCACCTGGAGAGGATAGGAAAAAAAATTCCTGTTGTCAGAGGCCTTTGTCTTCTGATTTATTAAGAGAGCTCGCTTTGACTTGGGTGTGCTGGGCTCCTGGCTAAATGCTCAGAATTTTTCTGGGCCTGTGATAAAGCTGATGCACTATGTATTTTTTCTTATTAACAAAATTGATGCTCTTGTGAATGAGACAGGAGTCAATTTAAAAAACATAGTTGTTTCAGTGACTGAGAGATCACAGGTAAAACTGAGATATTTCTAGATTACAGAAGCTGTAGTCTAAATCTTATTTCAATCTCAGTTGCTCTTTGTAGAAATCACTTACTGGCTTTACTGCTCATAGTTGCACTTCTTTTAGGACTTCTCTTAGCCTTCAGTTCTTGAACAGTGTCACATTGCTTTGCACAATGGTGTTTCTGCTACAGAATTTTTGTATGTGATGAATTTCTTACTTTTATGTGAAGATGTTTGTATTTGTGAAAAAAGAACAGTTATTTTGCAGATTGTCGTTCTACGTTAGCATCGTAATAATTGCCAAACACTCCGGATGCATCTGAGAGAATGAAGCTGTTAATATTCTGTCTGATTTTTGGGAAGCATTTTATTGCAGTAGGGCAATATTGCTTATTAGCAAGCTAGCAGGTAGCATAGAAGATGGAGAGAAAATGAGTTTAACTTGGGAAATATTGTTTAATATATTTAATAGTAATGCAGATTACTCATTAATATTCCCAGAGCTACACAAAACTGAAATGTGAGTTCCTTTCATATATCATCAGGTTTTTTAATATATGGTTGCTGTTGCTTAGTGATATTCTTAATACTCAGTTCCAGGAAAAACACATGAGAGTTTTTCCTGCCCTCTTCAACAATGGAAGAAATACAACTCAAAGTTTAAGTTTTCAGTATTTTTCTCAAATATACATAGAACTGAAATGGGAATAGGGCAGTTCAGATATTCAGTATATAAGAAAAAAATTGTATGTGGGTGGAGACCCTGGGGGTTCAGTAGAGAACTCCAGAGTAAAATACCTAAAATGCTTTGTGTTGTTCAGGGATCTTTTCTCTTAGTCACGTATTTGACTCAGTATAATTCAAAACATTTATAATCTAGTATTACTGGATTATTTTTGTCCAATCAGATGATAACACACCCAAAAACTTGGTGTGGGGTTTGTTTTTTTTTTAATGGTTCGTTTTCATCATAATAGTTTTTGCACATCAAACTAAAAAGCTGTTATTCAGAAAGGATATAATGTTTCTTTAATCACAGTCCCTTTTCTGAAAAATCACTGTAAGGTGAGAGACTTTTCTTGTTGCTTAATTCAAATCACATAATGTCTTAGCATAAAAAGTATCTTTTGACCAGAGATTT